ACATCAGGGGAAACACTCGAAGAAGAGATACAAAGCACAGAGGTCTCATGGAAAACAATGTGCCTATACAAAAACACTGCTTTGTCAATTTACGTTTTGGGGAAAACACATTTTATACCAGCTTTTTAAAGTATGGCTGATATGTTACATCAAACTGTGTGGAAGTCCACTTCCAGAGGAGCATAGTATATACTTGAGCCGATACATTAATTCCCCCAGAAGTCTTTTTTTTTTTTACCTCGTATGAAACCACATATCTAATTATAATCTGAGTTTAATTCAAGACTTCCATCCATCCATCTTCTCCCGCTTATCCGTGGTCGGGTCGCGGGGGTAGCAGTTCCAGCAGAGAGCCCCAAACGTTCCTTTCCCTGGCGACATCAACCAGCTCTGACTGGGGGATCCCAAGGTGCTCCCAGGCCAGCGAAGAGATATAATCCCTCCACCTGGTCCTAGGTCTACCCCTTGGTCTCTTCCCAGCTGGACGTGCCTGGAACACCTCCCTAGGGAGGCGCCCAGGTGGCATCCTTACTAGGTGCCCGAACCACCTCAACTGGCTCCTTTCGACGCGAAGGAGGAGCGGTTCAACTCCGAGTCCCTCCCGGATGACCGAACTTCTCACCTTATCCCTAAGGGAGACACCAGCCACCCTGCGGAGAAAACCCATCTCGGCCGCTTGTATCCGCGATCTCGTTCTTTCGGTCATGACCCATCCTTCATGACCATAGGTGAGGGTAGGAACGAAAATGGCCCGGTAGACAGAGAGCTTTGCCTTCTGGCTCAGCTCCCTTTTCGTCACAACGGTGCGGTAAAGCGACTGCAGTACCACTCCCGCTGCTCCGATTCTCCGGCCCATCTCACGCTCCACTGTTCCCTCACTCGAGAACAAGACCCTGAGATACTTGAACTCCTTCTCTTGGGGTAAGGACTCATTCCCTACTTGGAGTGGACAGTCCATCGGTTTCCTGCTGAGAACCATGGCCTCAGATTTGGAGGTGCTGATCTGATAATTCAAGACTTGAACTTTGTAATGTTAAAAAACATATTTATTTTAATCTATGATTGTTTTAGCAAACCTTACCAAGTGTTGTTGCCTAATCATTTTTTATTTTTATTATATTTTTTATTATATCATAACTTAATACTTTTTTTTAACATACATTAAGCTATGTGGCTCTTTCCTGCTGTAACGATGCACATTTCCCCTCTGTGGGACTAATAAAGTTATTCTGATTCTGATGTTGTTGTTGTGTTTTGTTTTTGTTTTAATTTACAATCTTAGCCATGTATTTAAAAACTGCAATCGTAATGGGGAGGAAAAGGTGTTTCCCTCGAAATGTAATTGAATGCTGGTTTTATGGGAATGTCATCTTGTGGGAGACAGGGATCATACAAATACAACAACACCTAATTGTCAGAGTCAAATCCAAAGTCAGCTTTCATTAAAGTTACATTAACATTGATATATTTAAAAATAATAGATATGAACTTATAAAAAGTGCTTTCTAGGATTTCTTGTGTTAATGGGAAATGACAAAGATAAGTGGAAACTGCAAGACCACAGTAATGGCTGCCAAAGTGCTGCTGGTTGAGATTTGAGAGAGGACCAGAAGGTTGTTAAGCTCTTGGGAACAGAAACTGTGACAGATGGAGTTTATTACCAATATTGTGCAAAACAAGCAGCAAGGAAGCAAGTGAGCAAACTTGAAAATATAGGGTTGTGGCATTCTCATATACATTTGCCAGTGTCCTATCAGAAATAAAAATGCAATACTAATAACATTACGGGAGGCAATTCAATCCCAGACTATGAAATAATTGTTTGTGTTACATTTCCCTTTTTGCGGCGGCAGTAGGTCAGTCTCACTTGGCCATGGAAAAGAAAGGTTGCGGTTCACGTCCTGATCGTGTGTATAAAGACAGTGGACAATTGAAAACTGTCCCCCCTAGGGGATCAATAAAGGTTTATCTTCTTCTTTTACTTTTAATTCTCTGAGATTATCATATTGCCAGGATCTTGGAAATTCGCCATCAGGGACATATTCATTTTCAACTTTAGTGCATGATTCATTTAAAATAATGTCGATGAGCAGGAGAGGATATAGCAGATAGAATAAAAAAAACAATGCAACCTCCACAATTTCCATTGACAGCAAAATGCCAGGGACAACTCTGACGTCTGTGAAGTACTGTGTTGAGTTTGCATTTCTTATTTTCTCAAATGATTTGAAAAGGTGTAGGAGGCTCTATCTCTGCAGCTATTCAAACGATCAGAGGAAAGGTCAAACCTGGAATATATTAGATGTTAGTTCTGTGATTTTATGAAACAAGTCTTTGTAGGAGGAGATGTTGGAGCTGAGTGTTGTGTGTTGATTGTGGAGATGAGTCATGTGTAGCGGAGGCAGAAAGAAACCACCAATGTGCCTCAATCTTTTGTTAGAGCAAGTAAAACCTTCTAAAGAAATAAAGGACATCAGCCTGATTCTGTGCTTGTTGCTATCTGTGTACCATTTTTGTGTTTGTATGCAATACCTTGTGAAATGTAAAGTGACAACGCTGGTTGGATTTCATGTTTCAAAAGTTGGCGTTTCTATATGCATTGCCCTTTTCTTTGTCTGATCAACCCACAAGTTGAGTAACACTTCTAAGTTGGGTGCAGGTTAAGAGTTTGGTTTTCCTAAGAGACAAAATGAATAAAAATCTAGTTTCTAACGTTAAGTAGAGACACTTTAATTGCACCGTGCTGCTGCGGTCTAGCATGACTGAGGCTACTTTGGTTTCACAGCGAAGGAGCAGTGGGTGAAGGGTGGAAGCGTCATGTGGTGGATTGTAGTTCCACACATCCCCACGCACGCATACACAAACACACTAGAAGAACCAGACCAATGGCCCACGCTGTGTGTCACATCTTGTGCCAGTGCAGTGAGGTTACCTCTGAAAAGAAACACTGCACTGACTTAGGAAGTCAGTCTGTTTAATATTATAAAAACCACACTGGGAACTGGGGGCCGGCAGGCTTATGTAGTAGCATCTGGCGTCACTGTAGATTCCTGCCAGAGCACACATTAGATCAGAATAATTGGCCAGGACAACAGCGGGAGATGGACAAATGAGAACCTCCTCCTGGGTGACCTGATGGCCGAGGGGATGCTTTAACAACGCTGCTCTGTGTCTGATAAGGAGCTTGTGAAATAAAGAAAACATGAATAATGCTTGAGGGTACGTTAATGTAATTTTAAAGTAATATAACAAAAAATTAAGTAACTCACATAGCTGTCAATGCATAATCTCCAATAACTAAAGATCACTCTGAAGGTTACTTTATTTGTTATTTAAATCCGAGTCAATTGATTCAAGAATGTGAACCTGTCCACACTACTTGGACATATCTTTTTCCCCTATGTTGATATTTTAGTAAAAATGTAGGCTCTTAAATGTCCCATTAAAACAGACGTGGATAATGAACTAAGTGCTATGTGCCAACCTACATCCTAAAGAACATCCTACATTTTGTTACATTTCTATGCAGATGATAGCATGCTAAAACTTTACAACAAAACCTACCCCTTTATTGTAGCTCCTCAATGTTTACATCATGATTAAACATGCTGTTGAAATAATGTCCCTTGACTTTGTTATAAAATGTTTTAGATTTTCATTGAAGAACTTGTAATCTGGATTTAGATGAATGCATGAATGCTATGAAGTCAAAATAACGTATTGTTAAAAAATCCTCTGTGTTGTCCTTCTCTTGCGTTACAGTAGGTCATACCCCCCTTCCCATACTATTTTCCGTCAAAATTGACCGGTGTGTTTTGCACAGTGATATCTCTGGAACCCTTTATCCAATTTTGATGGTTGACATCTCATTTGAACAGTCAATGCAAGTAGAATCAAGGGGTGACAGACAGAACGACAACAGGGGGGAATTTCATGTTATAATTTTGCAGTAAGTTCAAAGATAGTGCTTACTGTACAAAATGCTTGCCATGTAGGCTGTGTTTACTGGAGATGGAAATGCGTTAATTGGCGTTGTAGCTGAGATTCTTCCCGTTCCAATGATGTATGGGATGTATTGATTTGATACAAGCAAGTCAGTGTTTCATTGTGTACTTTCAACTAAAGTATATGGTCCGGACCCACCGGTGGGCCCATCAAGTTCAGCCTTCACTGCATTCACTGTGATGAATATAAAATAAGACACTGATACTGTTTTCCTCAATGAACATTTAGAGAGAAATACATATTCTCCCTCAGGGGCCTCTTCCTGGTCTGTTGACTGTTGGTCAGGCTCATAGTCTGGATCGCTGTTGTCTTCCATTTCTGAGACATCGTCCTCTATTTCTGGTTCATTCTCCTCTTCAAAACATTTGTACAGAGCCTCTAATCGGTCGCCTACTCATTGTGTCAATGAGTCAAATCAAATGTGAGCAAGGCACAAATATAACTGCATGAGAGACAGTAATGGAGGGGCATTTATTGCGAGAAAGTGAGAGATGTTTCTTTGTCGAGGGGCACAGAGCTCGCACCTGTGAGAACAGCGCGAGAAAGTGAGAGGAAAGAAAATCAGATTGATGATTCCAGGCATAATTCAAACACAATGAATTTAAACTAACAATGATGTTTCTACTTAGATGAATAATGGACTGGTAATGTTGGTTCTTGTGTCACATTTCTGCAATAGTTTTCGGCTTATTTGAATTATCATCTTTGCTTCAGGTCTTCCTTATCAGCCTTTTATCCACTACTTACCTATACTAGTAGCATTATGAAAACTCCATTAAGAATGATACAAATCTAGTTTATTTCAGTGACGTCCAGCATTGGTAATGTTGCGTTAGGACTACATGCAACCATTGTTTAAAAAAAAGAAAAGATTTATATAATTTCTCTGTTTCTGTTTCACGAATCTCAAGTAATATACCCAAAACTAAAAATGGAAGAATTTATTTTTGACTTTCAATACAATGAAATACACAAACAGTTATCGCAAAGGCAGAGATAAATAACTTTGGCATATAGAAATTGAAAACCATCCATAACACAATGGCAATGTAAGATGAGTAAGAATGAAAACGGGAGGCCTATACTACTTTACAGTGACATATGTAGCAAAAAAGAAAACATTTTGGACCTACATTTCCCTTTAATTAAACAAATAAATATTGAATATGAACAATCTCAAACATAGCAAGAGTTGCCTCACGTTCCTGAAGCAAGCAGATTTGAGATACATGAGAAGGGTCGAAATGTAACGACCAGCTGATTCTACATGTGCAACTATTATTTTTCTCTTTGAGAATCTTTGGCAGAAAAGGCACAACGGTCGAAAGGAAATGTAAGTGAATTATTTACACATTAAACAGTCTGATTAGCAAGACGCTTTAGCAACACTGTGGCTGCAGATTAAATCTGTGGTGATACAAGAGGGGAGCAAAAGAAAACTGCTCATGACGAAGGACCGTTCTTCGCCTCAATGATAATAATAGAGGAGCAGAGGGAGTAAGGCAGCTGGAGCCAGCTCGCTTATAGACATAAAAAAAGTACTCGAACAAAGAAGCTCCCATTTTCCATGACACTATCAGCCCACACTAGCTGAACCTTTAAAGAGACCTCAAGAAGAGGAAAAAGCACCTCAATGTTCATATCTCTGAAAAAGTGTTCAGAGCACAATGGTAATAGTCTAGATCTGCTCCAGTGAATTGTTGTGTCTCTAAAATGCACTCAGAGCACACTATTGGTATTCCACAGCAGTCAAATCCATTCAGCAGACTTATTAGATTCCAGTCTGTTCCGTTTTATCCAATTAGCGAAAGGACAATAGGATGAAGGGACAATCTTGTTAGCTCCCAGTGGAAGTGGATGAGATACAGAATGTTGCAACAGCTGCAGAGGTTCATTTCTAATGACCTGTGCGATTCTGGTGGCAGCTATTACACGAGTGAGGTCAGTCCCAGTCATCTTTACACACACAGGCACACTCCTCATGGTGCTCCAGGAGGACATCAGTCATGGACTTCTGCAGGCCTTTGACACCGCTTCGATGTTTCAACAGTAGAACCTGTCAAAGAGGAAGATGCTTTAGTAAGCGGCTGGACATCAAGCACTTGCACAAAACAATAATTGTCCAAAGAGTTATGACAATGCCAGTGACATCAATTCTGAAATCCCAAACCGTACGTGATATTTCAATTTCATTCATTTAGAAGCCTGAATTATGAAACTAGAGAGGGAGATGGCAAAGCTAACAGCTTTAATAGAGGGAGAATGTCAAATGTTGATGAATCATTGGTGCTACAGTTGACTGCCTGAACCAGCTTGCAGGCTTCGATATATTTCATGGACTCACCACATTTCAGCATGAATGTGCTCAACATTTTTTATTTTGATGAATTAATTACATTATGCTGTAAATTGTGTGCAATATTGGTTAAAGAATGAAAGTTGGAAAGGCCACACATGTTTTTTTATTATATAAAACCATACATAGGCCTATGTAAGCCAGCATACCCAGCCCTGTTCTTTGCTGTCCTCTTGTCATTGTATCATTTAACCTTTACACATGTTTGCTACTGAAATGGAATTCCTTGAACAGCTGAACTTGTAAATGTCTGAAAATGTATAAAAATGTTCTATGTCCCTCGTATTTCATAAAGTTAATATTCACCTCATGGTATTTCTTTGTGACCCTGGCAGGAACACACTGACAGTCGAAGCAGCGGTGAGAGCAGCAGGCACAGTTTCCACCACAGCGCTTCACCAGGAGGCAGCTCGGCCAGAAAATGGCATCTGTCCTCTTCAACTCCTCACGCAAGGAAACAGAGAAGTTTCGTGGGGTGCAGCTGTACAATCGCACTTCCTCCCTCAACAGATTAAGATCAGCTCCTCCTCAAAGACACAGAAAATACATGATCAAAATAATTTCCCTTTGAAATAATCTTTGCAACTTTCTTAAAGGTCACCTATTATGCAAAATCCACTTGTTCATGTCTCTTCTTCATCAACATGTGTCCCCTCTGTGGAAAGAGATTCTGAAAGTTTCAGGAAAAAACATTTGCTCACTTTTTGTCCCTGATCCATTTCTATAAAAACCTGTCTGAAAATGAGCTGATCAGATTTGTGGCCACTTTATGATGTCATAATGATTTGCTGGCTTGTGTAACCATTAGCCAATCACCAACCAAGGTAACCCCCACCCCCCACCACCTTATCACCTGAATCTCGTCCTAGAGCAGGGGTTCCCAAACTTTGCCATGCCAAGAACCCCCATATAGCATTATCGTCGGGCGGCAGCTCGATTCTGATTGGCTTGAAAAAAATATATATATATGAATAAGTAAAACATATTAAAAGGTTGGCATCAAAGGACACATAGATATGCAGTTATTAATTAAATAAAATAAAAATGTAACTTAAAACAACAAAAAAAATCCCCTTTCCCTCAAACTTTGCGTGACACCCCTGGTGCCTCCTGGCGGCCCCCCGGGGGGTCGGGGCCCCCACTTTGAAAAACACTGTCCTAGAGCACAGAGAATTAGCACTTTTGAAACAGGGCTGAAACAGAGGGGATTATGGGATGCTACAATTATCTGTTTGGTGTTTGGAGCCAAACAATTCAAAGACATGTTCTGTATATATCTGAGACCTATAATATATTGATGAAAAACAGTATAATAGGGGACCTTTAAATGTTTTGTCTCATGTAATGTCCATTGTGATGTATGAGTTTGAAAGTGTCCTACCTCTGGCCTTCTTATTGTGGAGGAAGGATTTCCCCAGCACATGCCACGTTGGTTTGTACAGCTCCTCCATATCCAGCTGCCATCGCTCCGGCTCCAGGAACTTCATGACCTCCTCCACGCTGTCCAGCCCTGCCACAGCCTCTGACAGCTCCTCAACCCCCTGCTGGGACGGGGGGATGACTGCGGGGACTTCGGGCTCTGATACACTCTGCAGGAAGGCAGATGAGATGGATAGAGACGGAAAATAAAGGTCATTCATTCAGCTAATACAGTAGGCGATTTATCCTTAAAGTTACACAGGATATAATGCTTCATCAACTTTTGATATATAGTTACTCTAAGAGAGAGACATATAATGCTTGTAGGAAAGACACAAACTGTAGCAAAGCCACGTTCTGCTTCAGGGTACTTACATAGCAGACCGGTTTGTATTACATACAAAAGCTTTAACAGGAAAATTACACAGAAGAAACAACTTTGTCAGCAGTGACAAGATGTCCTTATTTTGACAATGTGAAAAACAGTTGAGATATAAAAAGAAATTCTGCAATGGTTCATTTTAGGTCGTGGTAAAAATGTGTTTCGGCTCATTAAATGCTACAGTGGTTTGGACTTGAGTTGAACAGAAACCATGACCGTCCAGGCCATCTGGGATCCAATTTAAGCTCTGTGTGTTAGACCTGCTAATGTGTGGAAGGGTTGACTAAAGATTACAGACACACTGATGTTATGGAAAGCATCCACACATGCATTGACACTTTGGCAACTGAATCAGACATTTGAGAAAATATAAAACTACAACTTATTTATTGTTCAATTCTTGATGTAAACAACTGTCAACTGCCGGGAGACTGTGGGAAATATGAGTGTGTGCCTGCCTCAGTGAAAAAACATGTCGAGACAAAAAGGTCATCATGCATCTGAACTCCAATAAGGAATATATGATATCCAAAATAGTGTAATGCTTTGAGAGGGAAAATGTGATTTAATGGCATACAAAATTAAGTTGTCAAATGTTATCTCAACTGTCACCTTCTCTGCTTACTGTACTTTGCATTACATCATTTGTCCCTTTAGCTCCCTAAGCAGCAGTATTAGTTTTGGAATCCCAGCCCTCCAGGCTACAGCGTGCAGTCACAGAGAGAACGATACCTGGGGTGTCGGTCTTCCCACGAAAGAAGAGACACATCTGTTAAACCTTTCATCCGGCAATGCTGCGTTTGTCCAACGTGTCAGCTCGACGCTCGCTCTAATCTCATGTGACTGACAGGTAGAAGGCAACAATGTGACAGTTACAAAAATAAAAGAAACGTTCAGACATTGAAAACATCCGCTGCTGGCAGCTGCCTCTTTGAGCTTTTGGGGCATCAGACATGGTAGAAAAAAAGAAATGATACCAAGAATCTGAATCTTATATAATGCTATTTCATGTCACATATTGAAAGGTTATCCATCAAGTGGCTTACACTATTTTATTCCAAAGTGTTTTTCTTAATTAACCACCAGTAGAGCCAAGTATGCCTTTTACGGCCTGCCGAGACACAATTAGCATTGTTGGGATTTTTACATTGAATAAAAGGGGCAAGACATAACAACCAAGCTTTATTGACAGCAGAGGTCCATGCAATACAGACAAACTTAAGTCCCTTTGTCTTAGATTTTAAAATAAGATGCCAGTGGTTTGACATGGCTGCACCACAGGCTACAGAAATACAGCTGTGCCACATATTTCACTCACTCTAATGAGGCTGCCTTCATAACCACTGCACATATTTTGGTTTATTTGGCACCTTCTTAGGTAAACAGACCAAATGTGAAAATAAAACTCATGGAAAACGGACTGATCATATGTCCATCCATCCATATTCTCCCGCTTATCCGTGGTCGGGTCGCGGGGGTAGCAGTTCCAGCAGAGAGCCCCAAACGCTCCTCTCCCTGGCCACATCAACCAGCTCTGACTGGGGGATCCCAAGGCGCTCCCAGGCCAGCGAAGATATATAATCCCTCCACCTGGTCCTAGGTCTACCCCTCGGTCTCTTCCCAGCTGGACGTGCCTGGAACACCTCCCTAGGGAGGCGCCCAGGTGGTCATACAGTATGTAAAACCAGTAAATTAAAAAAAAGTTATTTCTCTGAGCAGAGTTTTTCCAGACAACAGAAAAAAGTTGTGATTCCTATTAGTCGAGTGTTGGCGGTGGCTTACAGCGCGGACTGGAAGCCATTAACAGCTTGTGAATGTTGATGGTGCAACACTCCCCCAATTAGCGGCACAGTGAAAGCTCAGCTCCAGATAAAGAAGCCAAGCTATTCTTCAGAGACACATCAGCATGGTGTTAATACATATATAAGAAGCAGATGAGAGCTCCTGTTTAAGACATTCACAAACAAAGTACTTAAATGGACCACCAACTTGACATGACATGTTTTACACATTAGGAATTGATGAGCACATATGGTATTGGCATAAGCTGAAACAAGTTGGTTTATACATTTAGATAGATGATTTGACACATTTAGATACATATTGAATGTATTCCAAGATGTAAGAGTTTGAGTTATATGGTGAAAACAATCAAAATAGCTTAAAAGCTCTAAATGTGATGCTGTTTTGCATTAATTAGGCAGTGATGACATGATGTTGAGATGACAGATGTATTTTGGAACCGGGTCGGTCCAGGTCCTGTTGCAGGTATTGTCTTACGGACAAGGTGTCCGACAACATGAATTATGAATCTATTAGTCTTCTTCATAAAAAATGGTGCACAATAATGTAACAGTGGCCAACACTGTGTCGGCTATTTTAAGTTCCTTTTGTTTCTAAGAGGTTGATGTTATGTATTTAGTGATGGTAATCCCTATCTCACATGGTAAGCACAAATGCCTGATTGCTGATGTTGACCCTTTATTTTCTAATTCTGCATAGAATGTATTTTAGAGCTCTATTTGTCTTTCTGTCTTGTCTGTGTTTTGTCTGTTGTAACTTCGTTCATGCTGCCCTTCTTGGCCAGGTCACTCTTGGAAAAGAGATTTTAATCTCAATGAGTCTTTTCACCTGTTAAATAAAGGATATATAGAAATAGCTCACATATGTGTTTTTATATCTTTGCTAATGTGATTTAAGAGTTCTTAACTGCATTTAGAAAATGACTTTCCTGTTAGCTGCAGTCTATGTCCAATTGTATAAATAATAGGCAGACATTATTGAATTTATAGTAACATACTGCAATTTAAGCAGATACAAAGGCTGGATTTTGCGCAGGCAGCTTTTCACAAGAGTACAATGTACAACCGTTTTGAAAAGAGGCAACACAGCTTCCAATAGTCAAAAGCCGAATGTTTTTTATTCCGCTTGATGACCTTGGACAGAAGGTGTGAAAGCCTTTAATGGACCTGTTATCGCTGCCAAACTCTCTGAACCCCTCAAGAAATAACCTTATTTTCCAGCTCTGATTACTTCATTTTCAGCTCTCTTTGTTCTGACACAGGACAACCACACGCTCCTATTTCTGGTAACTACAATGACGGGTTCAGCTAACTATGTTGAGATGAGACTTCTGAAATAGCATCTTGGGAGAGCTCTGGAAAACAATATATTCTCCTTCATATGAAGTTGCAAACCACTTCCTTGCACAAGAGTAAGCAACAAGGTCTGTTGTGCGTGAAGAAAGTGTTGTTTACTCTCGCTTGCACTACACTACAATTTAGGTTGGTGTAAAAACAGACCTCAATTTCATAATGCCAACATCAAGCCTCTTGCACGTCTTTGCCATATGCTTTATTGCTACTGTCCTTTTTACCTCAATTCAGGTCGGAGTCTGTAAAACTCACTTCATTCCATTCAAATAAACAAAGCTGGTGGAGCGATCTCCATGCGTAGGTAGCAGCGGGATTTCATTCTGAATTGGGACCTCACAGAGACAATGATGTATGTTTTGTTTGCTCCTTCAAACCAGCACTCAACACCCCTCGTGCTCACTTCAACAGACTCCTTCTCTTCTATGTTTTAACAACCTCTTTGCCTCGCTCTTTTATGCTTCTCTCAAAATCTCTTCCTGTGAATTACAGACCGGGTCTTATTCCCCTCCCCCCTTGCCGTCGATGGAAGTGGTGGGGAGGAATTATTGCTTGTTTAAATATAAACTAAAGTGCCGGCCCCTGCGTGGCACGGGGTTCCAGTAGCTGCCGGTCGACCACAGAGGAAACAGAGTGCTGCTGTTATAGCGTGCTGCTTCTCTGTCAGAGGAAAGTTCAAAGGGAAGGCAGACTGAACGTGCAGAGGCCAAAGCTTCCTCCCCCCCCTCCCCCCTCTCATAGTTTCTACACCTTGGATTAGAAAGACAAACCCGGTCTCTTATTCCAGTAGAACTTTCTTTCTATAGCAGAGTAATGAAATTTGACTTTCAAAATCCAAAACATCCATTGCAGTGTGGGATGTATCATTTTGTATTTTCACATGGTAGGGCTGGGTATCAATGCGTTTATTGGGACCTACCTATTATGTGTTGAGTTTGTATGGAAAACTAGCAAATACAGCTGGATTATTTGATTCAGCCCGAATCTTTAGTGACTTCCTTGTGTACTGTTTGTGGAGTCCTTTACTTCAAACTAGTTCAAATATCTGACATGTATACCTGCAAACTATTGTCAAGCACCCATACGTTACTCAATGTTCAAGTTCAAGGTTCAAGGCTTTTATTGGTCATAGCTACAGTGTAGTAATGACGATGAAAATCTTAGGTCACAAGCTACACAATGTTGTTTTTGATTGATGTTTGCAATTATATTGCCTATGTTTGGCTAATATACTTTATTTCTGTATGGAATCATTTTATCATTATTCTTGGAAGAGAGTCATCAGGGGTTCTTCCTAACATGTTTTAGGGGGATTGTCCTTACCTTAATTGATGAGCAGGGGCGGACTGGGACTAAAAATCAGCACGGGACTCTCGACCGGCCCACTTCGGTACCGCCGGCTGTGCTAGTGACTTATCCGACCGGCCCAATTAGGTACCGCTAGTATATCCCGCTAGTGAATTGTCGACGGGAGGGGGGGGCTGCTAGTGACCTATCCGACTGGCCCATTTCGTCCGAACAGCCCACTTCAGTACTGGCCATCGGGATTCGTTCCGAACATCCCGATGGCCAGTCCACCACTGTTGATGAGGCTGTTGTATGAGTTATAAAGCCCTTTAATTTGTGCCTTGACATTTTGGAATAGTATTTACTTGATTAACTTCAGGGTGCCAAAACTATGGTAATGTATTAGCACTATGATTGAGACATTTCAAACAATGCAAAACATAATAATTAAGGGGGAAAATGTGTATTAAAAAGACAATGCTGAGGAATGTTCCGGCTCAAGACTATGGAGCAGACTGCTGCTTAAATAAAAAGAAAACCAATGAATTGTTCTTTAAATAACACTTTACTCCACTTCAGGGAATTTGAAATCGAACAACTCCTTGTTATAGTGACTTATTGGATTAATCCTTCTCCATTAGATAAAGCAAAGCCTTGCTCATGTATCTTACATCACAGTCTACTGAGCCTGTTGGGGAAAATATATGGTCCAATTCCATGCAATTCAATCATAACATGAAGAATATCCTCAGTGGAGATGAATAGAAGAATAAGTAACAGCTTTGATACCCAGCATGACACTCAGCATGGTAGTTGTGTTGTGTTTTAAGGGTGAAGAAAGCAAGCAACAATAATGTGTATAAAGGATGAGAGAACTAAAAAGCTTTTGAAGCATAAAACAAAGTTACAGACAGAATACAAAGTGCCATCAGTGACCTCAGTTGCCTATTTGTGCTTGTCAGATTTCCCAGTGCTGCAGGCCATTAGGGATTAATGAGGAGTAGAGATGTTTACTTAAAGCAAGTGAACAGAACTAAGACATGACAGGTTAAAACACGGCAGTCGTCTCTTCAGTTTATCTCAAGGCTTTTGTCTGTGAAAGCATCAGGGACGGAGGGATTGTGTCTGTGTGTGTGGTCTGAAGAGCAGGACAGAAACAGCTTGACAGTGAAAAATAATGTGGAATAGGGAGAGGCTGGATCGAGACAAAGATGGCAAGAAATACACAGGCGAAGAAGTCTTTCAGAAAATGTTGTCATGCATTTTTCACAGTAGTTATGCAAGCCTTTGTTGGAGGCACAACTGATCTGTCTCACTGATTAAAATAAAAAGGAAGGAGCCGAATCACTTTCTTTCTGATAAGGTAATCTTGACCTCCTTACGCAAATAGTCGGAGTGTTTTGTAATCCAACCTATGTACTGTAGCTGTACGCAGAAATATGCGCGTGGACATCTTGTATGCAGCTTAAAATGACATAAAGTATGTATGGGATTGATGCAACTGTACAAGAACAAAAACTGAATAAAAGACGATAACCCGGAGAACATTAACTAGATGGCAGGCTGAAAAGTGAAACATGATTTATTTTGATTATCAGGCTAATGTCGAACTGAGGTCAAGTACGAGGGAAGGAACTAAAGGAAGATGCTAATAAGACCATCTTCCTTTAGTGCCAGTCACATTTTGTTCTCTTGTAGGCTACCATAGCTGCAATTGTGACTTGAGCTTCCCACTGGTCTTTGCCAAAGCTTTTGATACACTGGAAAGTTTCAGTTTATGCCAAACATTTAAAGGGGGAATGGAAACAAAGATTCACAAGGGATGAAACTAGCATTTATAATCTACAGTATGTTACAGGAGACAAGAGGACAGGACAGAGCAGAAAGAAGAACAGGTTGTTTTGTGACTAAAATATATATTTAAGTCCTACACAAAGAGTCAAATAACATGGGTATCTTTGTGAAGTAGGGTACTGTTAAAATGCATGAAAGGGGATATTACTTCTGAGTTCTCAGTACTGTATGTGATGATAAAACATGGGGAAAGTGAGACGGACGGACAGCGGCCTGCCAATTTCCGACAAAGAAAGCACTTCTATCTCTTAATTCCTACTTTCATTTCAGAGGATTGAATGAATCCCCCTGAGGGTCAGAGGACCTCTTTGTGAACGTGAAGCCGTTTTATTTTCTCCATCACAAGCAACACAAAAGGTACATAGCAGGTTGTCAGGGTATGTGGTGTTATATAGAACATTAATATACAGTATATAAAGTAATTTAACACCTTATATAAAAGACTGACCCCAGAAAATGAGAAAATTACAGAGATATCGAGACCATTTGAACCTTAAAGATTGTTTTTCACTGTGTTCTGTGTAACGTTGTGGGACTATACCAGGGTCCATTATACACAATTTGAATCCTTAAAGGACAACTCAGACATGATATTAGTGTCTTACTGTAACTGTGCATTTGCAGAGATTGTGGACATTTTCTTTCATCTGCGTTTAAAGGGACCCTATTATGCTCATTTTAAGGTTTGATATTTTGTGTAAGATGGTGCAGGTGCCAGATGGTCTGAAGTGCTCAAACATAATTTATCCTTCAACAATGATTTAAACCTCTTGTACACATAAGCAGAAATGGATGATTGAATGTTAAGTCACCAAGTTATGTAACAACAAGCTAATAATTTTTAATTGTGCTTGCATGGAGGAGCCTTGCTTACTGGCATGGGAACTCCCTGAAGTTGGCAAAGAAGCAGCTAAGCGCTCAACATCTTAAAGGTCCTCTATTATACTGTTTTTCATCAATATATTACAGGTCTCAGATATATACAAACATGTCTCTGAAGTGTTTGGCTCCAAACACCAAACAGATCATTGCAGCATCCCATAATCCCCTCTGTTTCAGCCCTGTTTCCAAAGTGCTAATTCTCTGTCTGTTACTTTAGATGAGAATAAGGAGCCCCTCCCCACGCCCCTCTGAGAGAGATTTGGTTAAAAATAACACAATGGTGCTCTAGGAGGAGATCTAGGTGATAAGGTGGGTGGGGGGGTTACCTTGGTTGGTGATTGGCTAAAGGTTACACAAGCCAAAACATCGTTATGACATCATAAAGTGGTCAAAATCTGATCAGCTCATTTTCAGACAGGTTTTTATATAAATGGATCAGGACAATAAGTGAGTGGATCTTTGTTCCTGAAACTTTCAGAATCTCTTTACACAGAGGGGACACATGTTGATGTATACAAGACATGAAAAAGGGGATTTAGCATAATAGGTGACCTTTAAAATAAAAATTCTTAAACTCCAGACTATTGACACTGTACGTACCACAGGCAGAGGGGAGTAGCGGATGGAGAATCCCGGCTCAGAGGGGAAGTACTCATCAGACATGAAGCGGATCCTGATCTGACTGCCTTTGGAAGTGAGACTAGCTGGAGCCGACTGTGACCCACACCAGCGACCCAGGATGCTCTTCTCGGTCAGGTCCTCTAACTCCACAAAGTCGTACCTGGTGAAGTGAGACACACAAGGTGCAGAAACTGATTAGTTGAGTCTCACCAGACCCTGTTTAAACCTGATATAGACATGCATCATTTGTGGTCTGATCACAGGAGGATTGCTCTAATTACGTCTGTGCACAACTGGCATAAGAATGTGTGGCAACATCTCACTTATATTGTGCTGGAAATGATGAAGAAAAATATTAATTGCTTAAGATGTTTGACACTAAATTACATATCTCTGTGGGCCAGGGTTAGCCAATTGCGTTAATTGGCATCTTAGCAAAGTGCTCAGAGTTAATGTAAGGTCCTTCTGGTTAGCAGTGGTGCATTGTGTATTTGAAAGGTAAGAACAGATTATTACCACACTCTCAAACTGTGTTTCAGCATGTTGCCATCATGTTGTTTTCAGCCCTGCCTTACCCCTCTGAAGGTGAAATTGTTAATATCAGTAAAGCTGCACAGGGAAATAAAGTTTAACCTCATTAAAGAGAAGAAATAAAACAATTTACAATTACAAGTTGCTAGAGAGTTGTTTCTTATTTACTGCCTACATTAAATGAATAGAAATTAGCTGGATATTGCCGGGTGTATTGAGGACAAATCTCAGGTTGGTTGATAGTGCAGAATAAGCAGCTGCTCTACTGTTGAACTGTTGGTGCTGATGCAGCCTTTTGACAGGCCTATTACACTGATGCTACATGTTGTCATTGAAATATCGTTTTTAATTAAACATTGAGCTCATTTTACTGTATGTTGACTGTGTTGGTCTGTCAATCTCTGTACTTTTACTAATATACAAATTATAAGTTGTTTATTTGCTTAATATTCAACATGAACCAATTCTGCAATAATGTACTTTTATCTCAGCCATTTTCTATTTCTATTTCCACTTACAACAACTCAACCTCAATAACCTGACATTACCATATTAAATCATGTGATGAGTTTATATATGTATCTGGATCACAAGCAACCTATTCAATACCTACATAAATAATGATAAATAAAAAAATTCAGTACTGTGAATTGCACTAAACTAAATGCTGATATAAAATAAATTGAGTGAAATATCATCAAAAGCAACATTTAGCTTGAAGTGCGGATCTAACTTTTCGACCCTGCATCAACATGACGGTCTCTCTCTTCACTGGCGGCCCTTCAAACCCATAATCCCAGTATATGGAGTGCAGAAGCATATGGCCTTGCTCCAGACTCCGTTGGCGTGCCAAGGCTAACATCGCCCGACCTCAGCACTTAAGACACGCAGTTCACAAGTTCAGTCTTTATTATGTATACCTGTGTGTGGCTGCACTGCATTCAATACAGCCTTGTTTCAGTGGCTCTTCACAGTCTGGGATTAATCACTTTGCCATTTGTGTCAACAGGCACGCTAGCCTCTCATTGAGTGCTGCCAATTCGGATATTTGGATTTCTAGGACATTGTTTACATTTTGCGCAGGCTTGACAGATTCAGTTCAGGCTGGTTTCGATAAAACAACATGAGGGACATGAGCGGGACTAAAAATGGATTTTCTGTGATGTTAAATAAACTGAAAGGCAGGAGGGTCAATACATTTACTGACTCTGCTGCGTTTGATTTGGAAAGTTATACTGTTGTTAGTAGTCTGTACAAATAAACATAAACCATATATTCAGTTTAAATGTACAAATGTTAGAAAACTGCATGAACTATAAAACATTCCTTTATACAAATGTAAACCAGACTGGCATGAAATGGTTTTGTAAAGCAAAATATCAGCTCAGCTTCTCTTTGCCTTCTAAATGCAGGTCAATGACGAGGGAAGCTTTCCTCTAAAATCAGCGCTGAGACAGATCCAGAGCTCTGACAGATGGCTCATCAATAATGCAGGACGCCCTGATCATTACACGTCGCCATGTGTTCAGAATCACCATGTCGAACAGTGGTTTCTCAGACTTACAAATGCACTGACACACATACCAAACTGTACGTCGTACAGTCACAGTGAACAGGATCAGAACAACAAAGGAGTCGTATACACTGCTGGCAGATAGGATTACCTTCCTTCACACTGCAAGCAAACTGAGTTTAATATTCACAAAGCTTTCCCCTACAGTTTCTCCTTTTGTATTTTATTAATAGACACAATATCTAGCTCTGACATGACGCATATTAGCAACACAAACACTGTTTTTTAGTCCTCTTCTTTTAGAGTAAAGACGGAGAGAATAAATGCCTTTCTGAGAACAGTCCTGTCTGTGAGCCGTCAAGCACGACTCTGCTGCCATGCCAACCGGCAAGACCAATCCCTCTCCAATATGCCTCTCCTCCAGTGGATTTGGTAAGAATGCTTTTCATCGTGCAACAGACAGACAGAATTGCAGATGAGCAACTCGACTACACAGCCTCGCTCTCATCTTAGCGAAGGCTTCTCGCTCCAGGCTTGCTAGTAAAGCCGAACACATCTCCTACTGTTTGTTTTATCTCCTGCCATCGCTTTAAATCACCGGACAAAAGATCAGGGTCTTGTTTTCATGCATTATATTGTGCACCAGGCTAAGAGCAGTGTATCAATAACTTTGAATGTTTTTCTCCGCAACACTGGGGAGATGATGTGAACATTTAAAAATGTTATCACACATGAAAGATATGCAGACTTGGCCAGAGGCTTTTCAATTTGAGTGTGTGTGTGTGTGTGACGGAGAATGTGTATGAGAGAAAAAGAAGGAAAGAGGGTGAGAGAAAAGACAAGTAAGGAGACATGTGAATGTGTGTCTGCCAACCCTGCCAAGAGTGTGTATCTTGGGATCTGATCAAAACCTGTTGGGCCTCAGTGTGGGGAGGGAGGGAGGGAAAAATGTCAAAGCAGGAGCAGGAGACGTGGCCATGACTTGCATGACCCTGGAAAAGGATGTTGTTATTGTCTATCGCCCCTCTCCCTCAGGACGCTGACTAGTGCGGTCTTGTAGAGTCAGAACAGCACACAAGGTGTCAATCAGCACCCACTGTGGAGCTTTCTCTCACGGGGTCTCAACATGAACACTAACCTCATCCGTCAATATACACAGAGCAGGGGGGCTCAAATTACCTGCGCTCACATACTGTTGTCATTACTTCCAGAAACAGGTGTCATATATCCTGGATGGCCCCACAATTAACATCAACAAACAAGTAAATCAAAGTAAAACCCAACTTCAACCAGAATTCAAAGTCAGAATCATAAACACCTCATGTATCATCAATGTTCTTTAATGCACACAAACTGTCATTGGAACAGAAGTATACTGATTCTTCCTGTGATTTTCAACAATCCAACATAAACCTGTGAACTGTCATTCCCCTTGTCATCCATTAGGGGGCTCTCCAGGAATGACTAGCGAGCGAGCACCCTCCCCCAGTTCTTCTCCACCTCGCAGTGATTGGACTCCTCCATGCTAACCAGTCAGATGTGATATATTGACAGAAGGCACTGAGCATAATGCTCTGAGGGTAAATCGATTCAAGGGGCTCGGGATCCCTGTTTAAATTGAATGGCAACAGAGGCAACCCCAGTAATTGAAAGTGGGCTCCTTAATAAAGCAGAGGATGTACAGTATGTGTGAGTTTGGGTTGGGTCACATGTCGTTTAAACAATCACTTAGCAACAAATATCAGCTACATTATGTTAAATACGGCAGATCTGAACCTCATAACGGTTTCCTCTGTGAAACAAATCACTGCTGCTGCTGGGTTTTTCAATATTCACGAGCTGCCACTGCAGACCAGAGGCAATTTCACAAATGGCCACACTCTGGACTCTAAATCGTTGAGAGTGGACGAGCAGAAAGACAGGACACGTCTTTGACTTGGCCCCACATGCATCTGCCATGCCAATCTGGGAAAGACCCCATTAGATGGGAGCTGGGTTAGCAGAGGACACTTTTAATGATAAACACTGTGATAGATAACTCGTGTGACAAAGAACTATTTAATTGAGAGAATATCAAAGTGATTATTTTAAATACATATAGGTTGGCACATTTGTTCAGTGAGAAAGACCCTGCTCACATATCATTGGCCTAGAAAGGTGGGATAAAGGATGCTAGCATCTTACACAATTATATGATTCATTTTAATAATATACCAAATTGTAATGATTGTATGTATTACTTGAATTTTACTTAACAGACTGTACGTGGTTTGTCTTGTTTGTCATGTTTTGCCTTGAAAACGAGATGATGCATCTCAAGGGGTATATCCCAATAAATACAATTTCTATATATATATATATATATATATATATACACACACACCACTTTTAAATAAGTTTACATTGTCGTATTCCTATTGATCAGAAAGTTAGTGAATAGAACACTGATAAGATGAACAACAGGTCACAGTCCTGAAATACAATATATATTCTTGCTTTATATTGTAAGGCAAGATATATATTTTCATATATTATCTTGTATTTAGACACAGTTACAAACATACTACTGCATGGTCTTACTTGCATATGCCATCTTCGGGGTCCTCCAGACCGAACCTCTGATCGAAGGTGAGCTGGATCCTCATGTTATTGGGCGCCACTAGTCTCCAGACCAGTTCAGTGTTCCTGGGGTAACGGTGAGGGAAGTCTGGGCTGTGGACCATCCCCTCTCCAGACACTGTGATGATCTTCTCCTGATGGGAATCTTGCACTCCTTTAACACAAATCAGATTGTGTGTTAAGATTTGCATATATTACAGCAGTTTTATTGGTTCAGATGTAATCAGTTAAAACCCCAATACATAATTTAACAAGGTCTTGGTTTGGATAAGAAACTAAGCTTATTATCTGAAACATAAACACGTTAAGCACCTCGCAAAGAGATATGATGCAGTATGATATCTCAAGGTGTCCAATATCAAAGGTGAGACTTCAGAGAAGTAACACTAGATTGACCGTACCTTAATGTTTTATACAAACTATGGCAGTCTTGCCCAACTTTGACATATCTGTCTCCTACTAAAACTTTTTTTTCATACCTACATGTTACAATAAACACATTAACATACACAAACACTTGCATAAAAAACAACCTTCAACAGCTCTACAGTATATCTGGTATGTAAAGCTTCAACACAAATCTACATACCATATAAAGGTCTTCAATGACATCCACTTAAACACAGACAGTGGCAGAACTTCAGTGTTAGTATTATTAGATCTCAGTGCTGCGTTTGACACTGTTGACCACAGCATATTACTAGACCGACTAGAAAACTGGGTGGGACTTTTTAGGCCCACAATACATTTCTGACCTCCTGCTAAATTATGAACCATCCAGATCTCTCAGGTCTTCAGGGACTGGTCAGCTTTCTGTCCCCAGAGTCAGAACTAAACATGGAGAAGCAGCGTTCAGTTATTATGCTCCAAATATCTGGAACAAACTCCCAGAAACCTGAAGGTCCACTGCAACTCTGACTACTTTTAAATCCAGGCTGAAGACTTTTCTTTTTGCCGCTGCTTTTAATTGAACTATTCACATCTTAAACTGCACTGTAACTTTTATCCATGTATTTTTTCTTTTAATGTTTATTTTATTATCTTTTCTTTTTAATTAATGTCTTTCGTTTTTTGTAAAGCACTTTGAATTGCCTTGTGTTGAAAGGTGCTATATACATAAACTTGCCTTGCCTTGCCTTGCCTTGCCTTGCCTTGCCTTGCCTTGCCTTGCCTTGCCTTGCCTTGCCTTGCCTTGCCTTGCCTTGCCTTGCCTTGCCTTGCCTTGCCTTGCCTTGCCTTGCCTTGCCTTGCCTTGCCTTGCCTTGCCTTGCCTTGCCTTGCCTTGCCTTGCCTTGCCTTGCCTTGCCTTGCCTTGCCTTGCCTTGCCTTGCCTTGCCGTAAATAATTTAAGGGAATTGCAGGTGATTTGTCGTGATTGATTATTTAATCTGGTATTGATTGCATGATTGAAATCAATGAGGAGGCAACAACCTGATACAAAGGAGCCAGGATCTGCAGCGGAGTCACACTCGGGACTAAACCCAAGATGTTAAGGGTTAGATACAATGTGACAGCAAAAATAGCCACAAAGCCCAACATACAAACGCATAAGTGAGTTTTCCAGAAGAAACCATGCTTAACTGAACTTCTCTACTATCATACAATGCTATATCTCTCCTTATTAATGTATATTTCCTGTACAAATTGAAAACATGAGTGCAATGCAGAGATCTTCAAAGGGAACGCTGCCTGATGGATTTCACCAAGCTCCTCTCATTAGGCCATTAAGGCCCATAGGGACCAGTGACTGCAGGATGTAATCACAGTGATGAAGCTATAAGGTCCCCCGGGGCCCCATCAGCAGAAACACTGATACTTCCACCTGAGCCTCAACACCCTGAAGCCGTGCTGTGTTTGTGAGATTAAACATTTAGTTTGTTGTGTTTTACACAATCAAAATCCATACCAAACAGCATCAATATATCATTTATGATCTCATGTCTCTTTCATGTGAATTGCAACACAGTCTTAAATACTATAAATATTCTAAAATGTAACAATCTTACTCAGTCTTTAACAAAGCTTTACGAGAGCACTTGAAGTAGGAGGAAACAGCTAATCTTTGTCATACAAATCAGTAAACATGTATGCATTTCTGCAAGGTATTCCTCACTTCATTTAATTAAATATATTAGGTAACTGTTAGGTAAGTGTTCTATGTAAGATTGCATTTTGGTGGGATGCACGTTTTGTTAATGCAGTCATTTTGACATGTACAGCTTCAACTCTCAAAATATTGTATTGCTGTAGCTACATTTGAGACGGCATATTCATTAGTTTGCCACAAACTTTGTAAAAAGAAATACAAACATAAATGAATTGAAATGCACTACAGAAGACAGTCGTTAAGGCGACAAAACCTTGCAATTATTTTTATAATAAAGTATTCCACATGTTGCATTAGTTATCGCTCTCGTAGACTCGCATAATTGCCACAACAGTATACTCAGCATGTTGTTTTCTGCTTCAGAGATTCCATTTATAAACTGATCCCATCACCATTCTGATATAAATGTGTACAATTTGAACGGTATTTATTTTTATACCACTGATGATCACTCAGTATTCATAAACTGATCCAATATGTCTCGCCGTCAGAAGAGGAACGAGCAGGAGTTGAATGCGCTCCGGAGAGGCAGTGTGACGCTGGGAGTTTGTTAGTGCATTAAACGGATGAGTAACCATTTCCCCAGTGCAACCTGTTGGACACATTTGGACCACATTTTGAGCTTGATTACTCTTTATTCTGCCATACATTTTATTTAAAGATGTGATTCATAACTAGAGGCTGATTCATTCAGAGGGTATTTGCTTGCAATAGAAACAAAAACACAGACAAGTTAAGTTTGTGCCATGTTCTCATGGTCACTGAGTTCCTCAAAAACGCTCCAGGGACAACAAGCCGGTCTGAAGGAGTGGTCACTGAGAGCAAGTGAACAACTGTGGTAGGGTACTGTCTGTATTCACCATATTTTAAAATCAGTTACATTAAGAATTGTAAGCTGCCCCCTGCTGCTACACCTACATGTTTTCCATGTACACATTAAGTGTGATGTATAGGTCATTCTTAAAACAATGGCCTTCATTCAGCTGTTATCTCTTAAATCTATATAACATGTCACCCTAATTTTTTATTAACAGATGTTTTATTATAAGCTTACTATAAGTAAAGGCTCCATCGACACTTTATAAGGGTAGGTGTTTTCATTTCTCCAAAATAAGAGATAAGAAATAGTACATTCATTGTAGATTTTTGCTTTATTGTTTTATATTTTCAAACACTATGTTTTTACTTGTAATGTTACAGGAACAGAGCCTTTTAGAGCTTTCCAGAGTGTTACATACATGGCTGGTTCAAAACAGAACATTGCTGCAGGATTTGGAAAGGCAATTAAAAAAAGATACAGCCCTCCAATTTCATTAAAAGCTGGATATAACTACAGCCCCAATACTTCAACATTCAATTACAAAGCTGGACAGGCCTGCTGTGTGCCTTGACGTTGGCTGAGCTGTTATAGGGATGGGCTTAGACAATTAATATCCACACTGAACAAAAATATAAACGCAACACTTTTGTTTTTGCTCCCATTTTTCATGAGATGCTCTCAAAGATCTAAAACATTTTCTATATACACAAAATAACCATTTCTCTCAAATATTGTTCACAAATCTGAAAAAATCTGTGATAGTGAGCATTTCTCCTTTGCCGAGATAATCCATCCCACCTCACAGGTGTGTGAGGGTTAGGGTTAGGGTTAGGGTTAGGGTAATGTTGTGAATCGAGTGGCCCATGGTGGTGGTGGGGTTATGGTATGGGCAGGCGTATGTTATGGACGACGAACACAGGCCACTCGATTCACAACATTACCCTAACCCTAACCCTACCACTCACACCAGATACTGACTGGTTTTCGGACCCTCCCAGACCCCCCCAATAAAGCAAAAACTGCACGTTTCAGAGTGGCCTTTTATTGTGGCCAGCCTAAGGCACACCTGTGCAATAATCATGCTGTCTAATCAGCATCTTGATATGCCACACCTGTGAGGTGGGATGGATTATCTCGGCAAAGGAGAAGTGCTCACTATCACAGATTTGTTCAGGTTTGTGAACAATATTTGAGATAAATAGTTATTTTGTGTATATAGAACATGTTTTAGATCTTTGAGTTCATCTCATGAAAAATGGGAGCAAAAACAAATGTGTTGCGTTTATATTTTTGTTCAGTGTACATAATAGTGGTAAAAATGTGCTTTTCAGAACGCAATAATACTTTTCATAACATAAAACCAAAATGTATGACATCAGTCACTTTTGTTTAGGATTCCCTTTTAATGATGTGTTTTCTTAATGACATAAAAGACTCAAACCCATTTCTGATCTCATAAAAAACACAATTTTTATCAAGATGTAACTTGATAGAGGCTTTCTGTCCTGGCTAAGCAGATGAAACAACAATGACACTTTTTTTTTTTTCTGAAAACAATTAAATCAGATTGCAGATATCCCTTTGAAGTTTTCATTTGGCTTTGGTGGTGTGCCAGGTGGGAACAGATTGAATGACAGTGTGCCAGATGCAAAGAAAAACAAAGCGCAGGCACGGCTCCTCAATGAACGGGCTCTTTCATAACTGTGAGAAGAGTTTGCCCTCAAGTACAAACTGCCTCGCCAAATATGGGCCACCTTCTTCAGGACAAAATATTTTGATAATACAAACACACTGTCAGCTTTTATATATCTAGACTGAATACAATGCCACCTTAAGCTATTTCTTCATGGGGTTGTATTCAACATGATCAAACTCTGATATCATTTCATTTTCGCCCCTGCAGTCATTAATATTTGATTTATTTGCATAAACTACTGAAAATATTGAGGATTATCACCTTTGGTGCAAGTAGCTGCAACACAGTAGGTGTGATTGACTGTTCTTATATCCAGGCTCAGGAGGAAACAAGCCGATAGCGTTCATGCTATTTAAGCTTGGTCCTCCATCACTATGATATGTTTTTAATTACTTCTCCATTAAAGCTCCAATATATAGACTCATAAAGTGCATAATGAATCATTTGAAATAAAGGTGATTTTTGTTATGCACAAGTCCAGATGTACTGTAGTGCTTGTTTGATAGTAGGTGTACATATGGTTTTAATACA